GCTTGAAAAAATACCGATGTTAAAAAAAAACCAAAATTCCTGGGGTGCTAGATCATTCTGGAGGGAGCCTGGCCCCCTTGGCACCCCCATTAGCTACGCCAATGCCAACTGCGCCACCCAACGTTCCCCGGTTATCGTCAATGAAATGTTGCTTTGTATCAAATTTCCACCGCACGTTGCCCACTTCCGGTTCCGTTCATCGAGCGGCGATATTTGTTTTCCACTTTGAACAATATTATGTATAACCATTCATGCTACATACATCTACAACCGAAGCCAGATGTGCCATTATTTATCTATAGACTAAAACGTGCTGAACACAAACAACATACTATAGATGACGGGCACAACTGGGAAGACAAAGTACCATCAAAGGCAAATTCAAATCAAACTGCTCCGACCGACATGTAGGTACATATTGCCCCCCTGAGAAAACGACGGAGCAGATGAGCAGACTTTGGAGGGGTGGAGGCAGGGGTTCATCGTGTGCACTGATCAATCCTCCAATGCTTCATCTTCTCTGTGTGTGTGTAGTAGCAATCAATCATCTCACTCAACCCCGTTTTCCACCGAATTCAAGTCACTCGGTGGCACCGTCCACGGCACTGTCTGCTAAAGGCTGACTAAAAGTAAATTGGTATGCCCCTCGTGCGCCGCTAGCACGAAACATACGTCAAAGTCGATTTTAAGCAGCTTCCCGGTCAAAACTTTTTCCTCGCGACTGGACGTGGGGATGTGCCGGGAAGATTCAAGTTCGTGTTTGCCGACAAGTTCGCGAAGAAGGCAAGTGATTTGCAGTTGTGGCCTGAAAACGGAACGCATCCTCCACGATGACATCCTAAGTTTACATCGAAGAATGCCTGAAAAAGCGTGTATTGCCGTTCATCCGCAAGCATACGGGCAAAGTCATCTTTTGGCCCTATTTGGCCAGCTGCCATTACTTCAATGTGTTTCTGGAGTGGTATGCTTACAACAACATCGATTTTGTCCCCAAGCTACAGAATCCTCCGGATTAGCCGGAATTACGACCAATCGAAAAATACTGAGCAATTTCAAAGCAGTGACTTCGACGAAGCGGTGGGGCGGTCAAGGACATCCAGCAAATGCGGGAAAAATGAAAGAAATGCGCTGATTCTGTGTCCGTTTCCACTGAGCAGGCACTGAAGGTTCGAGTTGAAGGTTGAATCACGAATTACCGGTCTTTTTGTGCGTACCAATTTACTTTTAGTCAGCCTTTACCACATTCTATTCGAAGAAGCTGGTACCGGTGGAAAATTCAATTTCTCAAAAGTTGCTGGTTTTCAACTTAAATTGTGCTGCCTAACCTCCTTAGTGCGCTTATTGTTGTTGATGTTTCTTCTCCGGTAGTTTGATTTGGGCTTTGGGTGCCTTAATCAAATTCTCGTAAACATGTGAGTTGTATATTTGAAAGGAGGTAGCATCCAGTAGCTGGGAATTCTTCAGGGATGCATGTAAACAGTAGTAGTTACCGTGAGAAGCGAGTTTGCATTTTTCAATTAATTAAAATTGTGAACCAGACATTCAAACTAATATCTCTCAAACGAAACATTTCCGAGGCTTGGAACCTTAAAAGAAGTTGCTCGTTAAACAGTATTCTTCCGTTTTTGGCAGCACGGTTCTACTTTTCAGTTGCCAACAACGGAATAATTTTTAATACTTGAAACAGTATTCAAATAATTCATATTCACCTAAAAGTGTCATTTGACCATTATGTTGTGTACATAATGAGTGTTTATGTTTTAATTTTATTTTGTTGTGCAACATAGACATCCCAACAAACAATTGCCTATTGAAGAAACGACTTCTGGACGATTTTATTCCACTTCATGCTTAATAATACTGCTACTATTTTTAATAACAACTTCTGTTCAGGCTTTGTTCACACAAATCTGGAGAATTTATTCAACCACAACATCGAAATATTTGGTGTTGAATAAGGTATGTAGAGAAGCTTTTATTCGACTTACAAAAGTTGTAACATAGCTTATTCGATCAAATTTTTGATTATTCAGCGTTTATTAGACATCATTACTTCCTTAAACAGCGATGGTATAAAAGTGTATATAGACGCTTGATTCTCATGTGAAATAATGTTTAATTAGACACTATTATACATTTATTAAATGATTATTCAATTACGGAACAATTAATCCGAAAATAAGAACGGGACAGAGCAGGGCTGTTCTCTCTCGTTAGTGATTGTTGTGTCAATTACTTCTGTCGAAGCACGCGCATATATCCTAGAAAATTTATCACATATACACACATGTCGTTGGATGGGATTTGAATCCATGACCTTCCGATCATCAGCCGCTTGCCTTGCCATCTGAGCTATCCTAGAATACATCATATGGGCAGCTAAATAAGTAATAAAAGCTTGAATCTGAAAACCTATCAGCACTCCCAGCCGTAACTTTAGCTAATTCAAGGAGATGTAAGAATGATTAATTCATTCATAGTTGTTTAACATGAGACCAACGTTACCTCTCCATCTCTCTCATTTCGAAGGAAAGGATGCTATTCTTTTCAATAGATCTATGAATTGGTTGTCGTGAGTGATGCAATCTATGATTACGATTTAAATTAATTATGCGTAGAAAATAAATAAAAAAAGGGTTGAGGTTGGTATTGAACTCGCGACCTTCTACTTGGAAAGCGGAAACGGTAACCACTATGCTACCAATTTCGTTTCGTTGTTAGTCTGAAGCATTGTTGTGGAATAATGAATGAATACGCCGTTTGTAAAGTATTTACAAATCAAGAAATTGAAACATCGACGCATAGTGGTATAAGAGCTATTTTGCTGAATGTATTCACCTTTATACAGCATTACAATATTGCAATACAATGAAATCTAATAATGGAATAATGAAAACATTTATAAGACGTCTAATGAAGCATTTTATTAAGTCAATTGAAAACAGTCGAATTAAAGCGAAAATGTATGTGCAAATTACACTTATTCAGTTTGTTATTAGATCAAACCTCTGGTTCTGAATCAGGAAGACAGTCAACGTTTATAAAGCTTTTAATAAGTAAATTAATCATATCAGAGCAAACGGCGGAATATAGGCGCATCTATCGATCTCAATGAGCTTTTTTCTGCACATAATTCGTCATCCTGTTTTATTCAGCACTGTACACTGTTATACAGCATTTATTCAATGTGTATGCTTATTTGTGACTTTGAATTGTTTGTTGGGATATTACCTGTCATAAATTGTGACAAGCTACCAAAATATATAAAAAATCTAGATGATCTAGGACTTGTTTAAAAGACGATAAAAGGTCAACAACAAGAACCTACATAGCAAACATTCAAAGGATTTTCAAAAAAATGGATGCAAGTCAAGACCACATGGATAGCTAAGTGAGCAATATTGTCAAAATTAAGAAGAATCGATAACGTCGATCTCTGTTCCGCAATCTAGTGCCATTCACCGACGGACATCGATTGTCATCCATTGACAGCAATTGAATGTGCAAGAAGGCAGCTTCCACATCTGCGTATATCGCACTAATTCAAACACACATGGGCCGGGACCAACGGCTTTACTTCCCTTCCGAAGGAAGACGTGACCAGAGATTTTTATGTCTCAGGAAAATCCCACCGATCTCGGCTGGGATTGAACCCAGACCCATTGGGGTGAGAAAGCAGTTACGCTTACCACTACACCACCGGCGTCGGCTCATGTTCTTCAAAATGAAGCACCCTGGTTTGAACCAGTTTTACCATGCAACATATCTGGATTAACTATAGAAAAGGGCTCATCAGCATTTGTAAACAACCCGTTCTAAACCCCTTTCCTCACAAAGCGAAAGCAGCCCACGCAAACCAACACCATCATCGGGTAGGGGAAACTTTTCCTTATCCGATAATAGAGTTGGCTTGTGTGGGCGGCCTTCGTTTTGTGCGGAAAGGGCTTTAGAACGGATTGTTGACAAATGCTGATGGGCCCTTTTCTATTGTTGATCCAGATATATGAACTCTTATCAAATTGCGTCGTAAATCCTCGTCATACAGCTTAAGCCGACTGCTAAGAGCAACTAGCGTAAACAGAGCGAAACTTCTAAAATTTTCCGAAAAAAATAAATAATCCCCCTCTTGTCGCAATACACTGCATTGTCACAGCGGAATCGCGAAGAGCCTGAGCTTGAAATCGCAATTGCTACCTGAGACCGTTGCAGTATGTACATCATTATCCTTTAGTACATGAGAGCAGTTTATTCTCTGCCGAATAAAATACCACGCTTATGGTTGAGTTTAGTACCGGAGTTGGAACGGGGCAGGGATGACGAGAGCTTAAAAACGATTCACCGCCGGTAGTCAACAACAGATAAAATGTCTTGATTCGCCCCCTCGCCCCATCTTCCATTTATCTGACAGACTTGGTTTCCTTCTTCTGGTTAAGAACTCTCTCTAGCCGTTCGCCCTCATTCTTGGGGTTGGTTGGAGGAAATCTTCTGCTGTTGATGTTGTTTTTCATTGTTGCAGAAGAGCCCCTCCAAGCATTGAACAACGTGGGATACTAACTCAAAACCAGCACACCATATTGCTGTACATTGTTCATTGAATTGTCGGGAGATATGAAGTCAGCTCGTCGTTGAGCTGAGACAGGGGAGAAGCGGTTAAAGCAGCTATTTTTCCTCGGTTACAACTGGGGAGTCGTTTTTTTTTTCACTGCGACGGGACTCAATGATTTCCCACTTTGTTCCTTTCCTTTCTAAACATGAATCGGAAGCTCAACAACGCCAACTGGCGACGATAGCTGACTGAGTTTGAGTTTCAGGATAACAGTCTCTTCCCGAGTGGGTGTCACTGACTGGCATTTGTCGAGCAAAAAGGCAATGAATTCGTGTAGGTTTAAGCTCACGGAAAGTCTCATTATAATACCCAACATCATTCGCAACCTGGAATCAAATTGATAACAATGCCAAGCCATACCAGAGCAAAGTAGTTGTAGTGCAAAAGGACTCACTTTTCCCGCTTCGGTCTGTCGTCCGGGCTGTCGTCCTTCATAAACGATGGCTGCAGGCTGAACCGTCTCCTTAGATGTCGTCCCTTCATAATGGTGACTGCTTTTCCTGCTACTCTTGTGTAATGTGGAAAAGTAGCTTCCTTAAATCCGTCGTTTTCTCGACGTTGAAAGTGCGGTCAGTGGACTGCTGCCGAAAAAAAAAAGATTCCTTCAGTCAGCACTCACCCGGCTTGTGGTAGTAATTATTGCTTGACGGCGGACTCTGATCAAGAGTTCTTTCCCCTGTCTAGCCTGAGGCTATCGGGAGCCACTGTGTTTGGTATGGCCTCTTCTACACTAGCCACAGCAGCAGCAGCAGTAGTAGCAAGAGGAAGTTTTTCTCAGTTGGCGAAAGTTGTCCGGTCTGAAATAAACGGAGATGAAAAGAGGATTATTAAGGCGATGTTTATGTGCTTTTTTTTTGCGACTGCTACCGCTTCTGGGTCCTGTGTTCATATATGTGTATCGTTGGACAAGACGCTAGATAGGGACCTGCTGGCAGATGTGCTTTTTATTACCGAGCAAATTAATGAAAACTCAATTATGGCAATATTTGTAATTATCTTTGTGGATTATGTTTGTCCTGGAACTTTTGGAAAGGAAGTTTTTGGAGAAGGCATTGTTTGCCTATTTAACTATATTTAGGTAATAACTGTTCCTATTATCGTCAGGAATGGGTGGTGAGTTAAATTAAGGCTTTGAGCATCGTTTGGACATAATTGACCGCTAAAGGAATTGCCGAAGCCGTAATTTACCCTACGCCCCAAACCAATACATCTGATACACTGTTTCCCGATTTTAGGCTTGTAATAATATTCACGTAATCTTAATCAGTGCTGATAAAAATCATTTCGTCTACACACAAATAAGCTAAAAATGAAGTCAACCTTGAAAGATAAACCAACTACCTGCATGAATTTTAATTTTGACATGATAATATGCTCTTGATCAAGGCAACCGCTGAGTTTCGAAGTCAACAATTGTTGCGTATTCATTATCGCCTGTTCTGTTGTCATATCAATATCTTGGTGGGGATGATTTTGAGTATCAAATGCGAAATGATTATTTTAGTTTTACACAAATATACCCTTGTTGAACGTGTTATGTTGTTTTTTTTTTCACTCAGATCGATGGAAGATTATTGCCCTTTGCAGAACTTATGGTAAAATCGAGGTCGAAGGCTTTGAAATCGATAATATTTTAAAGTAATAATTTATAGCAAAATGAATTTGATTTTTTTTTGCTTTTGAGTATCGTTTAAGATTTTGACAATTTTGGGTTGGAAACTCAAGAGTTGATGAATATCAACAAGCACGTATTCGTCGATGGACAATGAAGTCATTTATTCATTTCACTCGTACGTTCACAGAGAAGATTTTCAAAACAACCACAATTAATCTACATGCTATTTTAAGACTACTCAATGAGTGGGTAAATCGCATGCTGTATGGAGTTTTCTAAAAAAAGAGTAAAGTGGATTTGCTCAAGGGGTTGGTCACTCTACACAGTGTGCCAAAATCAAACTTGGGCACCCCCGGGCGTCGTCATTGACGCTGTTTGGCACCCATGGTTACAATTTTTATGATCTTTAAAGTTACTGGCAACACTGAACTTTTTCTGCGCTTCAGTGTGCATGTGTCAAAATTTGTTATTGATGTTGCCACAATATAATCAAATTATTTTCAAAACAACCGTGAATCTCCACCAAGTCTAGCCATGGATTCTCAAAATCTTTACAACCGTGACGGCAGTCGCATCCACATTTCCTCCCAGACGAAGAACAGATGACAGTGATACCTTGACCTGACCGAGGTTTCCGGCCATGGCTACACGAACTAGCGATGCAGCTCTCACGACTGCGGCTGCTTCCAATTCTGCTGCTGGTCTGTCTTTTTTTAATGAATTTTAGAGAAGACGGACCAGCAGAAGGAACAGCAGTAGCAGCAACTAAAGCAGAAGCAGCATAGGAAGCAAACGCAGCCGTGGGAGCTGAATCGCTAATTCGTGTACCTGTGGCCGACGCTGGAAATCTCGGGCCGGTCACGACAAGCGGTACTTGAGTTTTAATCGGAAAGTCGACCAAACAAAAACTATACCATCCGACCATTCGAACTGCTCGAATACATCCATCGCCACCGCTACTACACTTCATGATGGCGTTCACCGCCAGGGCTACGCTCGGGAACTCGACCAATCCGGAGGTGGAAATTTCCGATATCAGCGGGAACATTCGCACTTGCGACGTGTGGCAGTCCTTGGTGGTGAATGCAGTCAGCAGCAGATCCTCGGACACATATGGGTGGGGTATTGAAGAAGTGGAGAATGTGATTTTTGCTGGCCTGGGAAGTGATTGTTCTTGGAGGCGTTGTAGACCTTGAAGCTGATCGAATTGTGCGGCAGGGTGTACGTTCGACTGGTTCGACTGCGATGGCGTTCCCATCTAGATCATGGCGGCACCCTCTTTGGTCTTCAGGAACTTTATTCTGACAACATTTCCATACAGGAAGGACAGATTGAAGAGCTTATCGGTGTTGGCTGTGTTGTTATCGAGTCCGTAGACCATCATCACTGCGCCCTGTTGCTGTGCGGGTTGAATGAAGTTGACTGGTCCGTTTCGGGTCAGCGGTGCGTCCTTCATCAGTCCAACGTGTGTTTCAGCCGGTGTTGGTTTCCAGTTCTCCGACGGATGATACTCGGCCGGTGACAAATTCGGTGCAAATCCTCCGCCGGCTCCCAGAAGGACTGGTTGACTAATGATTGACGTTCGTTGTGCGGGGTCGGCCTTCCGCCGAAGATGGATTTTTTTGAAAACATTGAAAATCAAAACAAAAACAAGAGCTGTTAAAATACCGGGTTTCCAAACAAGGCACAAGCAAACAAAAGTCAGTTCAATGGTTTCTTCTAAAGAGCCTAAATTTATAAAGAGGCGACATGTCAAAATTGGAACAATCGATTGTCTGTCAAAGTCATAGGAAAAGTCATTCCAATCGAGCAGAAGACCTGTCAAATGGATAAGATGTCGTCTCTTTATGAATTCAGGCTCTTTAGTTTCTTCTACTTCATGGCACTGCCGATACAGCTGCGGCACACTGAGAAAAATGTTGGCGCAAAATAAGTGTGTAGAGTGACCACCCCTTGGTTTTGCTCCAATGAGTGGGATCTATCAATAATCTTGGGATGGGTGCCTTAATGGGTGCAACATCAACGGAGCTGTTTCCAACTTTTATCAACGAGTGTTCTCAATTGTTCGGGATGTAGTATCGATGAAGCAAAGACACTGCTTTTTCGGGAGAAGACAGCCTTGGTGGAACAACGAGCTGCAGCATCTACGTAATCGTCTTCGCAAGGCCAGGAAACGTTATTTTCGTTCGAGGGACGAACAGCACAATGCTGAACTGCGTGTATTTGCTTGCGCGATGCTTCAGCAGCTACATTCATCGTACGGAAGAAAACACCAAAAATGCTCCTACACTCAAAAAAAATGACACGTTCCATTCATGTGTTTTGGAATATGAAGACCGTTCATTACTTGTCACCATATAATCATGTGCTTTTCACACGGATGTCATAAGATTTACACACACAAATAATATGTTTTTGTTGCTTATGAAATCAATACTACCACACATTGATTTCATGTGTTAACTTATCGAAATCAAAGAGATCCCCATATAATTATGCGCTACTGTTTCCTACTAGTGTATTTAACGTGTATGACACATGAATTGCAATGGATCTCACTATAAGGATGAGAAGAGTACCTAAAGTGTCAAAACAAACATAGAAGGCAACAGCTAGCAGAGAAGACTTGTTAGTGGAGTTAGGTTTTCCTAACAAAATCCTCGAAATTATTAACCGTGAGTATGTGAGTATTCTTTGTAGGAAATTATATGTTTAAATAAAGGGATCACTATACACACTAAGAAATAACTAATTTTACACGTGACGGAATCCGTCTTTGACATAAAAGTAGAGACGTAAAAAACATTTAATGTAATGTTTAGTGCTCCGAGACTGAAAAGTTTGTTATGGCTCAAATTTATGTCAAAATTGACGCTCGTATGTCACTCTCAGAGCACCTAAATTTATATGATTTTAATTCTAGAACGAAAATGAATTCTTTTGGAAATCCGATTCTACTACTACGTATACAGAAAAAAAAGTACAACTTTATTCACGAAGACAGCGATATTTGATTTGATAGGTTAAGCTATCTACTGATTAATCTACTGTACACACAATATGAAAATATAAATCAATATATCTAAAATGAAATATATCGTGTTTATCATTTTTACATACTGAAACCCGTTCAATAATTATCTTTTAAGAGGACCGTAGTAATGTATTAAGTTTCAAAGATATCGGATAACATTTTTCTGTTTGTACGGTACTATTGGAATGCAGTATGCATGACTACGATTTGCTTAAATTAAATTCCGTTATCTTTTTCACAGCAACAAATCAAATATAAAACCAATAGTTATACTATTAGATTGCAACAAGGTCTTTCGTAAAATTCATGTGCATCACGCTTAAATTTAGCATGTCTGGTACAACATATTTATATGCAAAACATTTCATGATTAGAAATCAAGCACATGACGTTGACATTTAAATCAAATGAAATTCATGTGTGCTGTAAGTGAATGAAGCATGGGTAAGGTATGAGTGATTTCATAAGTTATACATTTGAAATTAATGTGTTTGCCACATTGCGCCAATTCAAATGTGAAACACATGAACGGCACGTGTAGATTTTTTTTAAGTGTAAATCGTTTTGGTCGTTCATGAGAAGTCGAAAGCAGACGGATGCAATTCCTCAGCATGTTTTTTAAAACAAATTAACGGCCGAAACCTCGCTTGATTCGGCAAATTTGTTGTCGTCATTCTTTCGGGGTGTGCTAAGTAATAACCGATCACCTCCGCCTGAAGTGTACTTGGACAGTTTGCCTCGGTATGATTTGAACGCAGCGCTTCTCGACTTTTCTCCGGAAAATGTGCTGAGCAAACTCCAAGGGATAGACGAATCCAAAGGCGCCGGACCAGATCGTCTTTCACCACTGTTTATCAAGAACTGCGCCGTCTCGCTTTCCGTTCCCGCCACAATTCTTTTTAATCGTTCCATGGCGGAAGGCGTTTTTCCGAGTGCTTGGAAAACTGCTGCCATTACTCCCATACACCCAAGTAACATTTTAAGTTTTATGAAATACTACAAGATACTATAAAACAACGTTCATAAAACCCTGGTCAAGACTGCTTTGCCATTGATGCATCCAACAAAACCTCATTGATGCTAGAATAAAGGGTGTCCACGATGAAATTGCCACACACAAAATTGATTCGCAAAATTCGAGTTTTCAT